TCACACGCTTGAGGTATTCGGCCAATCACAGCACACCTCGCTTTTCAGACCGATGAGCTTTGTGAAAATTGACGCGTTTCAAAAAAGCGGGGAATAGAGGAGAAACAATAATGTACAGTATGTGGAAAAAAAAAATTTTTTTAACTTTAAACCGCATAAACACATTTCATTACACCAAATACACCAAATAATGTTCTTTTTAGCAGCATCATATGACCCCTTTAATTTGTGTTCCGAAGATGAACGAAGGTCTTACGGGTTTGAAACGACATGAGGGTGAGTAATTAATGACAGAATTTTCATTTTTGGGTGAACTATCCCTTTAAAGGGATAGTTTCCGTCCCTTTATTGAAAGTCCGTTCCCACGAAACATTGATGCTTCAAAAAATGAATTACAAAATGTAAAAGTAATCCATATAAATCAAACAGTTTAATCCAAGTCTTCTGAGGACATAATGATTGCTTTGCTTGATGAACAGATTTAACGAGCGCACATATTTGCATGGCATACAAGAACAAACCTCATTGGTACTTGCAGAAGTTAATTTGTGCTTGCATGACACTCACTGGTTCTCTCGCATCCAGCAAACACTTTGAGCTTCTGTTTACCATATAGACCTTAGTCAGTGTAGCATCATATTTAAATTCTGACAGTAATGAAAGAGGGATAGAAATACAGTGCTCATTAGATTGCACAGTTGTTTTTAACAGCGTACCAAATGTTCAGCTGAAGAACATCATTTCAAAAGACTTTCAGTAGACCAAAAAAAACTGTTTTAGCCCATAAAACAATTGTAAACCTTTATACAGCGCATGCCACACTGTAAGTCTAGCCCTCACAGTCTTGTTTTCATCTGGTTAAATTCATTATGGTGTCTACCCTGATTAAAGTCTGATTTGATGTGTAGGGATGGGCGATATCTTATCGTTTGCGATATACCGGTAAAAATAAATGCATAAAAGTTTAAAACCTAAAAAACACATTAAACATGATCATTTGCATTTACCAATTCAGTTTTATTTGACTGGGAAAATCATCTAGTAACAGTGTAGCTTGCAAAATGTGGGACAGAACACGCGTATTTGTCCATCTCAGGAGGTCAAAGTAAATATTTTATTAGTTTTGTTTTCCATGTGTTTTGTAAGAGTTTTGCAGCCCTGAAATTTAGGACATGTGTGAAAGGCTAAATAAATGTTACATTTCACAAATACAAACAAGTTCTAAATAAGTACATTGTAACATTTACAAATTCAGTTTTATTTAATTGGGAGAATGCTAGATGTGGGAAAGGGTTAAGTATTACAATAAGTAATTTACGATATTAATATGATGAATTAGTAAATGGCAACACCGTGTTTATTGTGATTGTTTTTATTTGCAGTACCACATCAACAAGCTGTCCATCATGTCTTCAGACAATCACATGAACAACAGTGAGAAGGAGGTCGATGAGGTTGATGCCGCTCTGTCAGATCTGGAGATCACTCTCGAGGGAGGAAAGACGTCCAACACGCTGGTACTGCAACACATGCACTCTCATGCAATAATAATGCTTACTACTTCCGTTACAGCCACACACACACCTGTAGGCCTTTATCACACTTCTGCATTCGAAAAGCGGAAGCTTCATATATTAGCATGAAATAACTTCCGCTGTAGCCTGTGTCACTCACTGCAGTGCCTATAGCATGGGATGGTTGTGATTTATTGACATACAGTTCATCACCGATACTTCATCTAAACACACCGACCAGGTATGATGAAACAAAGAATAATGGTGTAATGTTATTCTGACGCATATTTCATCATTTATGCCTGCTGTATGTGTATGTGCAGTACTTAAGAGTACAAGTGTTGTTGTTTTTTTATCAAAATGCAAGGATGTAATACAAACAACATCATATTAAAGAGCATAAGAATTAGACAACGTTATACATCACATAAAACATTAATTATGAGGAAAGACTGTACAAATTAAGATTTGTACAGATCAGGCAGAATTGGATATTAATCATAATAAACATGCTACGATAAAAATGAAATCAAAACAGTGTTTTCTGAATCTTCCTCTGGCTGTAACATGAGCAGAGTACAGCTGTTATGCAGACTGTGACAATAAAGACATTATTATACCAAAAACTGTATAACTTTATTAATACACTTTGTGTTCTCAGGGAGACATCACATCCATTCCTGAACTGGCCGACTATGTGAAAGTCTTCAAGTGAGTTGAAGGATTTAAATATTATGTTAATGATGCTAAAATAACACTTATATAAAAAATGATGTTCATCCCGTAAATAATGCATTAGCTTTTTAATTTTGCCTTTATTTTGTAAGAGTTTTGCAGTTTTTGCAGCATGTGTGAATACAATTTAAAGCCAATTCATGAAAATTATAGAACAAATATGAAATAATTGTTAAATTTCACAAATGCATAAAAGTTTAAAACCTAAAAAACACATTAAACATGATCATTTGCATTTACCAATTCAGTTTTATTTGACTGGGAAAATCATCTAGTAACAGTGTAGCTTGCAAAATGTGGGACAGAACACGCGTATTTGTCCATCTCAGGAGGTCAAAGTAAATATTTTATTAGTTTTGTTTTCCATGTGTTTTGTAAGAGTTTTGCAGCCCTGAAATTTAGGACATGTGTGAAAGGCTAAATAAATGTTACATTTCACAAATACAAACAAGTTCTAAATAAGTACATTGTAACATTTACAAATTCAGTTTTATTTAATTGGGAGAATGCTAGATGTGGGAAAGGGTTAAGTATTACAATAAGTAATTTACGATATTAATATGATGAATTAGTAAATGGCAACACCGTGTTTATTGTGATTGTTTTTATTTGCAGTACCACATCAACAAGCTGTCCATCATGTCTTCAGACAATCACATGAACAACAGTGAGAAGGAGGTCGATGAGGTTGATGCCGCTCTGTCAGATCTGGAGATCACTCTCGAGGGAGGAAAGACGTCCAACACGCTGGTACTGCAACACATGCAATCTCATGCAATAATAATGCTTACTACTTCCTGTACAGCCACACACACACCTGTAGGCCTTTATCACACTTCTGCATTCGAAAAGTGGAAGCTTCATATATTAGCATGAAATAACTTCCGCTGTAGCCTGTGTCACTCACTGCAGTGCCTATAGCATGGGATGGTTGTGATTTATTGACATACAGTTCATCACCGATACTTCATCTAAACACACCGACCAGGTATGATGAAACAGAATAATGGAGTAATGTTATTCTGACGCATATTTCATCATTTATGCCTGCTGTATGTGTATGTGCAGTACTTAAGAGTACAAGTGTTGTTGTTTTTTTATCAAAATGCAAGGATGTAATACAAACAACATCATATTAAAGAGCATTAGAATTAGACAACGTTATACATCACATAAACCATTAATTATGAGGAAAGACTGTACAAATTAAAAATATTATTCACATTGTTTGCATGCACTTACAATCTCCAGTAAAGTATTACAAATTGAAGTCATTCAAATAAAGGATTATTATTCAGAAATACCTGTTTTGATCATTTTAAACAAGTGCAATGATTTGCTAGCATTACATTGCAGGCAGAAATGGATATTAATCATAATAAACATGCTACGATAAAAATGAAATCAAAACAGTGTTTTCTGAATCTTCCTCTGGCTGTAACATGAGCAGAGTGCAGCTGTTATGCAGACTGTGACGATAAAGACATTATTATACCAAAAACTGTATAACTTTATTAATACACTTTGTGTTCTCAGGGTGACATCACATCCATTCCTGAACTGGCCGACTATGTGATGCGATCGAGGGAAAGATGAATGTGGCCAAGTACAGGGATATCCTGGACGAAAACCTTCTCCAGAGTGCTCAGGACCTCAGACTGGAACTAAGGTTTACCTTCCAACAAGACAATGACCCTAAGCACACAGCTAAAATAACGAAGGAGTGGCTTCACAACAACTCTGTGACTGTTCTTGAATGGCCCAGCCAGAGCCCTGACTTAAACCCAGTTGAGCATCTCTGGAGAGACCTAAAAATGGCTGTCCACCAACGTTTACCATCCAACCTGATAGAACTGGAGAGGATCTGCAAGGAGGAATGGCAGAGGATCCCCAAATCCATGTGTGAAAAACTTGTTGCATCTTTCCCAAAGACTCATGGCTGTATTAGATCAAAAGGGTGCTTCTACTAAATACTGAGCATTTTTCAGTTTTTCTTTTTTAATAAATCTGCAAAGATGTCAACAATTCTGTGTTTTTCTGTCAATATGGGGTGCTGTGTGTACATTAATGAGGAAAAAAATTAACTTAAATGATTTTAGCAAATGGCTGCAATATAACAAAGAGTGAAAAATTTAAGGGGGTCTGAATACTTTCCGTACCCACTGTATATATATATATATATATGTGTGTGTGTGTATATTAGGGATTTTTTTTCTTATCAATTTAACGCATTAATTTAATTAATTGGTTATATTAAAAAATGTGCGATTAAAATATTTTATTTACGCACCCACCCTAGACTAATGTAGGTCATCTTACATTTCATACAGTTGATTGGTGATGAACATGATGCAGGGCATCAACTCACAGCGTGATGTAGCCTATAGAATGCAGTTATTTGCCCCTAAAATTCAAGATAAATTTGCCCCGTATGAGTTTTTGTCTCATATTTATATCATATGATGTAGTTAAGCAATATCACACGAGTGCTGTTCTTGTCACAAATAGCGTGTGATATGATTTTATACAATAGTTCAATAATTAACGGTTGACAACTTAATATTGTGTTATATTTTAGACAAAAATGATCTTGCTTAATTTTGCCAACGAAAATATTACCTGTAAAGCCACTTCAGAACTGTTTTGCATCTCCGAGCAGCACAGCAGTGTTTCGTTTCTGAGTGAATTTGTGTTTAGAAGGAATTGGTGAACTAATGAGTCGATGGCCTGTTCATAAAGAGAGCCATTTACTTCATTCCTGAATGAATCAGTTGTTTGAATGACTCAAAGACTTACTCCATTAAGACATTTACTGCCACCTACTGACAGATTCTTATTTAGAGAATCATTTCATTGAAAAATATTTTCATATTAATCAAAAATATGAAAATAAAGATCTATATTAATTAAAAAAAACAAAAAAAAACGAATTAAAGGGATAGTTCCCCCAAAAATTAGAAGTGAAAACATTTCTTCCTAAAGCTACTTTTTGTAAAGTCTGTTTGATGCGGTTCTCATTTAACACGATAATGGCTTTAAAGTATCTTTTGTGGGTCATTTCTAAGCCAGATTTGTTGTGTGAATAATTTGCGATTAATTCGATTAATTAATCGCCACATCGTGTAATTAATTCGATTAAAAATGTTAATGACTTGACAGCCCTAATATATATATGTACAGTATATAGACTGTCTATATATTAGTCTATTAAAGTGTAAATGTAGTCATTTCCATAACACTAGTGGCAGCAAAATTAAATTAATTTAATTTAATTAATTGGCTAAGCCAATGGTGATAATTCCTGCCTGTTTGCCCGGAGGTTTTAGTTGGAAGTGGTTGAAATGCTAGTGGCACAGATATTACACACTACAACTTATTATAATGTGCTTGTATTCTGCTATATTGAATATTGAAAGAGTGGACGTCACAGAGCTGATCAACAGTAGAGAGTCATTTCCCTTTGATGTTGTCTAACTTTTACTTGCACCTCAGACCAAAGAAACTCACTCTGAAAGGATACAAGCAGTACTGGTGCACGTTCAAGGACATCACAATCTCCTGCTACAAGAGCCGCGAGGAGGCCCACGGCACACCGGCGCACCAGATGAACCTGAGAGGTGACCGCTCGCGACAGACACGGTCAGAAACGCTGTTTGTTTACCTCATCAGCGCTGCATCTCATCCGCTGTTTCTCTGTAGGCTGTGAAGTCACACCAGATGTGAACATTTCCGGTCAGAAATTCAACATCAAGTTGCTAATTCCTGTAGCAGATGGTATGAATGAGATCTGGCTGCGGTGTGATGCTGTGAGTGAGACACTTCTATTGATTGCCACACATTATTGTGCAATAAATCACCTCACATCTTCATTTGTCTTTATAAGGAAAAGTAGCATGTTACTTGACTTGCTACTTAAAAAGTAATTATACGAACTCATCAGGGTTATTATAGTTAACTAAAACTGAAACTATAAAAAATTGCTACTTGAAAAATTTAAATAAAAATCTCAGTGATACTAAATGAACACAGGCACTCAGAGGTTCAAACTCCTTTCCCTGTCCTTCAGGAGAAGCAGTACGCTCAGTGGATGGCAGCTTGCCGTTTGGCCTCCAAAGGGAAGACGATGGCAGACAGTTCCTACAACTTAGAGGTCCAGAACATTCTGTCCTTCCTGAAGATGCAGCACATGAATCCTGATCCTCAGATCATAGAGCCCATCACCATCGACATCAACCCTGAGTGTCTGGTGTCTCCACGATACCTGAAGAAATACAAGAACAAGCAGGTAAATGAGAGATCAGTCTGCCGCTGCAGCGCAGAATACAGACCGACACTGACGGCAGAGAGCTGGAGAGAGACCTATGCAACAATACATAGTAATAAACAGCAATATTTTACGTTTTTTTTTTCTTTTCTACTAATGCATGCTTAATCACATACAGTACCAAATAATTGAAGCCAACAAATTGCTAAAGCCGAGTCATGAAAAAAAAATATTTGTGGAAATGAAAACAGTATTGCCATTTTTGCTACAGATGTTTAAATCAGGTTCAGATATCTCTCTTAATGCTGAAACTGACATACTTGGTCTTTAGCTTCATTGGCAAATAAAAAGCACATTAAAACTATAATATTCATGATGCTAAATTTATATTGAGGAAAAAATATTTGTAAATATACATGATTTTTCAGTTTTTATATGGATTTCTGTATTTTTCAACCGTGAATCGCATAAATCCATGGAAAATTCCTGCATTTTCAAATAAAATACATGTATTTCATGCATGGATTGCTTGTAACAGCACTGCATGGCACCATCGCGGCCCTTTGTGTCTCAGCCAGGGTCTGAAATGAACACAAATGTGAGTAAAAATCTCAGCTGTGCAGTTGCTTTCAAAGTGAAGCACAGCACTGTGTTCATTTACACGCGAGCAGCTCACGATCTGATGTTTTCAGCATCTCAAAGCGGCTCGTTTCACAGTAAAGGCTGCTCCATGTGAACTCCGTCTTTGCAATTGCTGTAAGTTTAGGTTGCTTATGTGCATTTGAAAATGTAACATGAACCAAAAACACTCCCAGATTTGTAGAGAGAATTGTTTATAAATAATAAATATTAGTATTTTAACTTTACTGTTGTCTTATAATTTTTAGTTTACTGTACAATAGCAATAACAATGTTTTTTTTAATTGATTATATATATATATATATATATATATAATTTTTAATAATAGTTATATTGAAGGGGGAATATATATATATATATATATATAAATGTATATATAAATGTTTTTAATAATAGTTATATTGATTTTCCTTTTTTTCCTTAGCTGATCACATGCCTACATACTAAATAAAGGTCAAATATTAAATACATACCACATTTTAAATATCACCAAGTCCTACTTGGTAAATGGTAATAGTAAGAAAAAATATTGTACAAAACAAAACCATCTTTTTCTAGCACTCATCATGATATGGATATGCAGAGTGTCCAGTGAAATTTCTCAAAACAATGTAGTTTTTGATTGAAAAACAAGAGTAAAGTGAAAGTATGTAGGGAGGGCTCCTGTGTGGGAGTCGACAGACGGCTCCTGTGTGCTGCTGCTGGTGTCGTCTTACAGTGGCCCTGGACTCAATCCAGCTCCTGTGATGCTGGGGGATGGTGGGCTTCCTGTCCTCACATCTCACTCGCTCCCCCAGCAGCTTATCGCTGGGAGAAACTTAGAGGAGCTGGGGTAGGGTCTTCAGAAATAGGCGGGAAAAAATACAGGAAACAAGCCGTGCCTGGGAATGTGGAGAGGCGGTCCGGGAAGAAGACAGTAGTTTGTTTGTGAGAGCGACGTCAGAGTTCGGATGATTTCTGAACGCGTTTATCCCTGCGTTACAAGCTCAATTTATTTTCTTCAGAGGCTTCCTCAGGGATTTTACTCCCAGAGGACGTGGGTCAGTAAGCACTGAACTTTGGGAAACAAGGATAGATGACTTTCTCACTTAACTTCCAGACTCGACAGGATCAGGAAGGCGGATGTTGTCATCCAAATGGTGGGGAATTTCAGAGGTCTCTCTACTGTAGTGTTCTTGGGTTTTAAACGTGTGTGGCGCCACCTTGTGGAGTCAAGGGTGTATAGTTTGGAGTGTGATGAAAACATAGGTTAATCATAAACTACAGCTCAGCCATGAACTTTGAACCCATTTTATGTTTAAAATCCTAAACTTTCTAGACTTATACAAATGTACTGATTTGTGTTCAGTACAAAAGATGTCATTAAAGAGTTTTTTTATTTTTTTTATTTGGAGCTTAATGGACAAACCAGAAGAAATAAAAATATAAAAAACAGCTAGATGACAGCAGAATTGGATGAAGCCAAGCCTTGTCTGAAAGTAATTTCTGAAAGCTTCAAGTTTGAAAGTTTTTACTTGGAGAAGTCAAAGTCAGACAGACCAATAAAAACTACTTCAGACCCCATTAGAGTCCTCTAGTGGTTGTTGATTGCCATTGTTAACATGTTGTTGGCATGTTAGATTTTGTTAGCATGCATTAACATATTTTTGTGTTGCATAGTTTTACACATTGCTTTCATTTTTACACATTTTAGCATGTTTCCAATGTGTTTTAGCACGTTGCTGAAATGATTTATGTTGCTAGCATGTTTATTTGTATTTATTTTTTGCATGTTTAGCATGTATGAAATAACATGTTCCTAGCATGCTTTAGCACATTGCTAACAAGTTTTAGCATGATTTAGCAAGCTTTACAATAATAGCATATAGTGCTGGGCGGTATGACCAAAAATTTATATCACGGTATTTTTTCAAAATTATGCCGGTTTCACGATACATGACGGTATTTTTTTTTTTCATGCATGACCGGGTGTTAACCATATTTTCTACTGATTGAGAGAGGAAATACTGCAGTATATTGACTTAGAATGCCCTATTTTACTGTCATGATGAGTGAATATTGTCAAAAAATACCACACTAAATAGTGACTAAACACGACCCCTTTTAATACATGTTAACCAGGAGTCACTCATTTATAATCGCGGCATCGTCTCATAAAATCATCATGCATCTACACTAAAGAGTGGCTATGCGGTTGTTTTGGCTATATAACTTTTTTGTCTCATGCAGCGCACTGCCTGCGTCTGAGTAACAAACAAAAAAAAACAACAAACAAAAAAGTGCATGTGATATCAACAGACGAACTACGCTCATATTTATAATTCCAAACAATCAGTAAGCGACAGGTGCTTGGAAACGCTGTTTTGTACTCATTTATTGACGAGTCGGCTGCAGTGCGGTTAACTGAATGCACTGCTTCTCTGCCGCTCACTGCACAGAACAGACGCCGAGAGAGGTGACACTTCTCCGGGAAAGTCAGACCTCGCGTTCGCGGGACAGCACTGGCGAAATCTTCCAACTGAACCATAGCTAAGGTTATATATATATATATATATATAAATGTATATATAAATGTTTTTAATAATAGTTATATTGATTTTCCTTTTTTTCCTTAGCTGATCACATGCCTACATACTAAATAAAGGTCAAATATTAAATACATACCACATTTTAAATATCACCAAGTCCTACTTGGTAAATGGTAATAGTAAGAAAAAATATTGTACAAAACAAAACCATCTTTTTCTAGCACTCATCATGATATGGATATGCAGAGTGTCCAGTGAAATTTCTCAAAACAATGTAGTTTTTGATTGAAAAACAAGAGTAAAGTGAAAGTATGTAGGGAGGGCTCCTGTGTGGGAGTCGACAGACGGCTCCTGTGTGCTGCTGCTGGTGTCGTCTTACAGTGGCCCTGGACTCAATCCAGCTCCTGTGATGCTGGGGGATGGTGGGCTTCCTGTCCTCACATCTCACTCGCTCCCCCAGCAGCTTATCGCTGGGAGAAACTTAGAGGAGCTGGGGTAGGGTCTTCAGAAATAGGCGGGAAAAAATACAGGAAACAAGCCGTGCCTGGGAATGTGGAGAGGCGGTCCGGGAAGAAGACAGTAGTTTGTTTGTGAGAGCGACGTCAGAGTTCGGATGATTTCTGAACGCGTTTATCCCTGCGTTACAAGCTCAATTTATTTTCTTCAGAGGCTTCCTCAGGGATTTTACTCCCAGAGGACGTGGGTCAGTAAGCACTGAACTTTGGGAAACAAGGATAGATGACTTTCTCACTTAACTTCCAGACTCGACAGGATCAGGAAGGCGGATGTTGTCATCCAAATGGTGGGGAATTTCAGAGGTCTCTCTACTGTAGTGTTCTTGGGTTTTAAACGTGTGTGGCGCCACCTTGTGGAGTCAAGGGTGTATAGTTTGGAGTGTGATGAAAACATAGGTTAATCATAAACTACAGCTCAGCCATGAACTTTGAACCCATTTAATGTTTAAAATCCTAAACTTTCTAGACTTATACAAATGTACTGATTTGTGTTCAGTACAAAATATGTCATTAAAGAGTTTTTTTAATTTTTTTATTTGGAGCTTAATGGACAAACCAGAAGAAATAAAAATATAAAAAACAGCTAGATGACAGCAGAATTGGATGAAGCCAAGCCTTGTCTGAAAGTAATTTCTGAAAGCTTCAAGTTTGAAAGTTTTTACTTGGAGAAGTCAAAGTCAGACAGACCAATAAAAACTACTTCAGACCCCATTAGAGTCCTCTAGTGGTTGTTGATTGCCATTGTTAACATGTTGTTGGCATGTTAGATTTTGTTAGCATGCATTAACATATTTTTGTGTTGCATAGTTTTACACATTGCTTTCATTTTTACACATTTTAGCATGTTTCCAATGTGTTTTAGCACGTTGCTGAAATGATTTATGTTGCTAGCATGTTTATTTGTATTTATTTTTTGCATGTTTAGCATGTATGAAATAAAAAAACAGCTAGATGACAGCAGAATTGGATGAAGCCAAGCCTTGTCTGAAAGTAATTTCGGAAAGCTTCAAGTTTGAAAGTTTTTACTTAGAGAAGTCAAAGTCAGACAGACCAATAAAAACTACTTCAGACCCCATTAGAGTCCTCTACTGGTTGTTGATTGCCATTGTTAACATGTTGCTGGCATGTTAGATTTTGTTAGCATGCATTAACATATTTTTGTGTTGCATAGTTTTACACATTTTAGCATGTTTCCAACGTGTTTTAGCACGTTGCTGAAATGATTTATGTTGCTAGCATGTTTATTTGTATTTATTTTTTGCATGTATGAAATAACATGTTGCTAGCATGTTCCTAGCATGCTTTAGCACATTGCTAACAAGTTTTAGCATGATTTAGCAAGCTTTACAATAATAGCATATAGTGCTGGGCGGTATGACCAAAAATTTATATCAAAAAAACGTTTCACGGTACATGACGTTTTTTTTTTTTTTCATGCATGACCGGGTGTTAACCATATTTTCTACTGATTGAGAGAGGAAATACTGCAGTATATTGACTTAGAATGCCCTATTTTACTGTCATGATGAGTGAATATTACCCCTTTCAAACAGTGTCGCGTTCCGAACGTTGTTTAAGCGACATACACCGGTATTGCGGTATTTTAAAAAATTCATATCATAACAAAAATAAACACCGGTATTCGGTATGAACCGGTATACCGCCCAGCACTAATAGCATACAATAACTCTTTTCTATAAGAGGTATTGTATGAAGGTTTTGACCCACTCGTTGAAAGTTTACGGAAATGTGGACTTGTTTGGAAGTCTGATACTGGAATTCCGAAAGAAAAGGGTTTTCCGTTAGAAAAGATACAGAGTCAGAACATCCTGAAGGTCTGTGCCAAGTTTGCTGGTCATAGCGACAGGTGGATGGCTAATTTCGCTGGTACTGACCAGTGACAATAAAGAGCTACTACTACTAATAAGCTTAGTAGATCAGCATGTTGGCTGTTAGATATTTTAAACGAGTCAGTCTGACATCAGTGCAAAAACAGCTTCGACTGGATTGTCCCATTTTGATCAGCGAGGATGAATCTACAGTTCGATCACCCCAGTTTGCAGACTACAGTAGTCTTCTGCTCGGTGTCAGATCAACAGTATAGCAGGATCTCTGCTAGTTGACACATTTCTACATCTGCACAATATGTACAGTCAATCCGGCCGGATCTAATGTGATCCCAGTGCAGTGTGTTCCTCTGATCTCTCCTGTCCAGCTGATCCTCGTGGTCCTCCCCTGCTGTATACTCACATGCACACCCTGCCCTTTTCTCTCTCTGTACATTAACGGTTGTTTTGATTCTGTTATTCTGCTTGTTTGCTGCTTTATTCATTTATTTGCTTTTCCCTTGTTTCCTCTCCGTGTTCCTCTTCCTGTTTCCACCCTCCTCAGCCAGGCTTTGTCAGGGACTTGGTAAGTCACTCGTTTGACGGCTGGTAAATGTCCATGACTCACTAACACTGGTGCTGTGTCTTACTCCAGAGATCCTCCCATTAACCACTTTACCGTTTATAGCTGTAGCTCACCCCAAAGCTCACATTTCAACTGATTAAACATTTAAGGTCATGTGTTGAGTCACTGGTGTCTCCTCCAGAACAGCTATCTGCCTGAATGCCGTTAAAAGTCAAATTATGTATAAGCTCTCATGTGGTGGATATTTTTTAGAAATATTCAAATGAATAGAAGCAGCTTGTAGTCTCATGACCTTGAGGCTTTTAATGTCATATTAAACCGTAAATCTGTCAGCCCAGTCATTTTTATCATTTTAAGCATGATTATATCCCAAGATATATTATTATCTTTCACAATTATTTTGTTATAATAATTTAGATGACACAATGCAGTTTTCTACGGACCCCTAAAAGGACATGGTGATGATAGAAAAGTGTTTGCGTTCTCTCACAAAACGTTGACGTTCCCCTGAGAAATTTTGAATTTGTTTGCAAACCTTTGGCACTCCCCAGATGAACTTTGTGTTCGCTTGAAAAACGTTTGTGGTGGAAAAAATGAGTTGTGAGACAAAACTGTATTTCATTGCTTTTGGAAAGAATGCAAAGGTGAATGGAATAGCTAGAGTTTGCTAGAGAGAGCAAATGTGAGAGAACGTAAAGTTTCTCGGGGGAACGCACATTTTTTGCGAGAATATAAAATGTATTGGGCGAATGCAATAGTTTTGCAAGAAAATGGAAATGTTTTGTGAGAGAACGTAAAGTTTCTTGTGCAAATGCAATAGTTTTGGAAGGGAATGCCCAGTAGTTTGCGAAACAACTCATAGTTTCTCAGGAGGACGCAGTACTTTTGCAAGCAAATGCAAAAGCATTGAAATACATTTGTGACCCTGAACCACAAAACCAGTCTTAAGTGTCAATTTTTCAACCCATACTATGTATTGTTGGCTGTTGCTACAAATATACCCCAGCGACTTAAGACTGCTTTTGTCCTCCCATCTCATTTTTTTTCCAACGCCATGTCCTCCTAGGGGCTCTGTAGTTTCTATTATAATCAACACATTTGTCTAATAGGATGTTTAAAATCTTATGGAAATCGTTTTTTGAAAAGGCCGTGTGTTTCATTGACTGACCCTTTCAGGAAGTTTATAGCATGTCACCTGATCCGCTCTGATAGAAGCTTTCATGAGGCAAGTAACTGGTCTGTGGGAGACTCCAGTGACGTCACTCATTTTCTTCTTACGTGAAATGTTTCATGTTCTGGGGAAACGGGGACTAAACGACGGTAGCTGGGATTGCAGTGGCTTCTGTCGATGTATGTTATGCTGCATGTATAGCAGATCATAAGGGATGCTTGAACACGCTGTAACAAGCTGGTCTCGTGTGTTCACTGTGATATTTGTGGTGATTGAATTCAGCATATCATATTGATGTTTCTGGTGTTACATTCTTCTCTGGGCTCGTTTCCTGATGACACTGTGTCCATGTGCTCACTCTGACCTTCTGCTTAAGTTATGATGGCTTACAGCACTTGTGTATTAATTTTCACATATGCATTATTCTCAGATTTCGGCCCGTATTCTGGAAGCCCATCAGAACGTGGCTCAGATGAGCCTTATTGAGGCCAAGATGCGCTTCATACAGGCCTGGCAGTCCTTGCCTGAGTTTGGAATCACACATTTTCTTGCCAAGTGAGTGTCTAAACCTGACCTTTCTGTCTCTCGGATATCTTAATTTAATGTGTGTGTGCCAATAAAACACATGTCCTTTTTACAATTCACAGCTCATTTCCGGTTTTAACATTTTACTCACTGTCATGTTGTTCCAAACCCATATGTCTTTTTTTCTTCTGTGGTGTAATTATTCTTACCCTCCAAGTGAGCTGTTTATCACAGAAACCAGATCATCAAGTCAGTGAGTTGATCTCAAGAACCAGATCAAGCAATTCTTTGTAAAGATCCGGCACAAAAAAAAATTTGTTCACAAATTGGACAATGCTGCTACTTCTTGCATGAATTCTCCAAGTAGAGTTAGGTCAATATTTTCAATGAATAACAACTTTGGAAGGCTTATCAAGAATTTAAGTGCAAAAGTCATATGGGCTACATTATTTACATGGGCTACATAATTTGTCGTGTTGTGCACCATGAAAAAAATGTATACGAGTTTGTAATGACATGAGTGTGAGTAAATGACATAATTTACATGTTAGGGGGAGCTGTCCCTTTAAGAAGTCATTTCCTTATGTCTTCTCCTACATATTTAATTTCCTCTCATTGCACTTTCGTTGTCTTTTCACAAAATCTGCTCGGATAAACACTGAGCCTGTCTTTTTCTGTACTTCTGTTGGTAATTGTTACATTTCTTCAAACTAGGTTCCAGGGTGGCAAGAAAGACGAGCTGATTGGCATCACCTACAACAGACTGATCCGTATGGACGCCAGCACAGGAGACGCCATCAAGACCTGGCGCTTCAGCAACATGAAGCAGTGGAACGTCAACTGGGAGATTAAGATGGTGAGATGCTCTATTTTTTTGGATGTTGTTGATTGTTGCTAATGGTTATGTTGCTATGAACGAGGCTCCATGTTAACGGTTTCATCAGTTAAATGGCCTAGTAACATAATTAAGGCCATTTGTAACTATGGCTTATGCTTGTTCTGATTGCAGAAGATCTGCTGGTCTTATCTGACATACTGTGATTCTGAGTCAAATAATACTATGTGTTGCATGTATGATAAGCACCACAGTAATACAGAAAGCCACATGATGAATCAGAGTTCATCGTAAGTGGTCTGTCCATAAAACATGATGATGCACAGGGTCAGAAACACAAAACACCATCAGGACAACACACCACACTACAATAATGCAATTCACAGAAAACAGAGATATAGATAGAATCAAGATTATTTAAATAAAATATGATAATCATGTGATGGGAATGTTTTAACTCATTTTCACGATAAATTATACAGTAAAAGTTAGATTGATAAATAAACATGGATGAATGAGAAAATAAAGCGTGGGATGGATTTATGTCAATACGGTGGATTTGTGCATCAGGTCCTAAAACAGCAGCGGTGTCTTTGGTGTGATTCCTTGGACTCAAATTATCCTCTTTAAAACCTAGAAAGATGCTTCAAAGTGTTGAAATATATGCATATATTTTTTCTGTTAAATATCATTTGATGCATTAGGTTTTATGGCTCAAGATCCTGAGGATCAGATTTGAGACTCTAAAACATGATTGATGGAGAATCAAGTAAAGCTGAGCTGCTTCAGTCCAGTAAGTGTTCATCTGGAGATATTACTGCAGTTATTCTGACGCTTACTAGATTAAAATCAGTAAAGATTTGACAGCAGATAGACTCGAGCTGAAGCTGAACGTTTGTACAATTACACTAAAAGAGCTTTGACTGCAACTCTAAACTATCAATCAGAGACAGAAGACATGAGGAGATTGAGTGTGAAACTGGTTTAACAGCCACGTTTTCATCATGTTGATCATTTAGAGGCTTTATAGGTTTAACATACAAAAATGGACACTCATCACCTTGAAGCCAAGATCAGCCGCACTCATCAGCATCTGCTCTGCTCTCACACAGGTGACGGTGGAGTTTGCGGACGAGCCCAGTCTGGCGTTCATCTGTGCCGAGGTGGACTGCAAAGTGGTGCACGAGTTCATCGGCGGCTACATCTTCCTGTCCACGCGTGCCAAGGACCAGAACGAGTCTCTAGACGAGGAGATGTTCTACAAGCTGACCAGCGGCTGGGTCTGAGCGCCGCAACACTTCATCCTGCTACTTTCACACTTCTTCTTCTTCTTCTTCTTCTTTCTTCTTCTCTCTCTCTTTAACCACTCCATCGTGGCCGCATCATAATTGTTTGAAAACTGATTTTTTTTGTAATTCTGTTTATGCTTCCCTCCAGAAGTGATTTGAGATGAAGCATTAGTAGCTGACCGCTATATATGACCTTTGACCCTCAATAGAAATACGCCAGCTTTGTGCACCGCCGAAATACCAATTATTTATTTGTCACTAATTTACGTCGTCTCTCTGGGTAGCTGTCGAATGTGCGGTGCTCGTTTGTGCCTATTAATCTGTAATGATAACTGTCGCATTAAAGTGACGTCATAGAGACACTAGAAGGAAATGTTACACTAGCTTTAACGTTGCTGCTTCTGAACGCTCTCGTCCGATGGGTAGATGACACTACACTTCAGCTCGGCAGTCTTTGGTCAAAAACCCAATCAGTTTGGTCCTTTCTAAGCACTTGGAAGATAAGCTGTCGCTTGAAGGTTCGTGTGTTCAACACTACATTACATGTAATGAGACCGATATTTTTTTACACTTTGAAGGAGAAGAGTTGTCCACTTTTTTTTTGTAGCAACATAGGAGAACGTTTATGAATCTGTGGCTCCACAGTCTGCTTTTGAAGGTCATTATTGATTTCCCGTTGTAGGAAGTTTCTTTTTATTATGAAGTCTGTTATTTTATTCATCATGCTTTATTGTGAACCAGTATAGTATTATTCAAAAGCGTTTCTTTAATACGCACCAGCAATAGGTCACAAACCATGCAATTTCCTTTTTTTTTCTTTTTTTTTCAAAATGAAGGATCGCTAAATGAAGTATTAGATTTTTTTTATTTTTTTTTTGTATCTAATGTAAAAAACACAGGTTTAAAAAAAAAAAACATTGTACAGTTATTTTGTTGCTGCTTTTTTCTGTCATTTTTGGAAGTGTATTTTTTCCAGAAGAGAGGGGGGAAAAAACCCATTTTTTGACATTTATGGATTGGTGCCTGACGATCTTAAAGACTTTTAGAAATATATATATAAGTGCATATGAAGAAGTGCAAGAAGTCTGGAGCTCCTGGCTGGAATAAAATCATGTCGATTATATCTCTGATGAGGAGGAGCTTCGGGTGGTTTTATTTAGTTTGTCCTGCCTTAACTGATGAATATCCACACTCATTTGATTCTGCTGCAGGAGCGTATAGCCTTTCTGAACGTGTGCCATACACTTCAACACTAATGAAGCACAGCAGAATGGCTCTTTCTGTGCCTGTTTAGTGCATCACTTCTTGTCAGTATTGTCTCCTGATGTTTCTCCATATGAAGGTGGTTTCAGAGCCAGAAATCACGATTTTTTTTGTTTGTTTGTTTTGTTTTTCTCAGATGCCAGCAGTGCGTTGCATGGCCTGCTGTTTTAAGATTGTAAAAATGCCATTTACCTGACAAATAAATAAATAAAATCATTTTTATTTAAAATCACAAGAGGATGATTCAGTGTGGTTTTCCCATCATGCAGGCTGTAATGGCCCGTCTCCTCCACAAGAGAGCAGTCTTTAACAAAGTTTGCAATTAGAGCTTAAAACTCAAATAAGTGGCTTAACTCAAATTTGGAGCAGGTTTACTGTCAGCAGTGGCTTGTATCTCTCTATCTCACAAATCAGGGGTTTCAACTATTATTTAGACAGTTTGGTAAAGGCATATTAAATGAATAGAAAAGAAGGCAGCTCATCAAATATTTAGTTTGATTTACTAAGGTAGCAATGCAGCATGCTGAACATTATTCTGTTTAAAGGGATAGTTCACCCAAAAATTAAAATGTGATGTTTATCTGCTTACCCCCAGCGCATCCAAGATGTAGGTGAATTTGTTTCTTCAGTAGAACACATATGATGATTTTTAACTCCAGCCGTTGCAGTCTAAGAATGGTTGATGTGAGAGAATAGAAAGTGAGAAAATAGAATGGCATTATTTTACTTATATTTTACTGTCCGCTGTTATGCTAGGTCTACATTGATATTGTCAAGAAAGACATTTGCCCCCAGTTTCACAGACTAGGCTTAAGCTTAGTCCCAGACTAAAATGTAATTCTGAGCTGTTTCAACTGAAAGAAACTTGCACTGATCAAGCTTAAAACATATCAGTGCCCTTGTTTTGTCTCAAGATGCACACCAGTAAGGTTTTTTCTAAGGAACATTTATAAAAGATACTTAAATGTCCTAATTGAACTATGGCCTAAACCTGGCTTAGTCTGTGAAACCCGGCCTTAATGTTTGACACGACTTTTTATGTTATGCAAACTGTTATTTATATAACATATCTGACTAACTAAAAAAAAAAAAGCACCATTTCCATTACTTTTCCTTGTATGGAACATAATACTCTTGGTTTTCCATGATTTTTCAGTAGCCCCTCACTGCAGAACACAAGATCCAGGGGGGCGGGGTTGGATCCACATCTAGGGGGTGGAGACGGGTGGGTTTAGGGATCAGGGGGTGGAGACGGGTAGGTTTAGGTATATGTAAGGTGGGAGGAGTTGGATCTGGACCATCTCTGATTTTTCCATGATAGTTCTCTCCCCAAATGTCTTTACTCCTTTAAAATGTGTGCAGCGTCTTCATGGAAATGCCACTTCTGTGTGCTTTTAAGGAAGGAGTGATTTTGTGTGTGTGAGAGTGATTGTGTGTGTGTGTGTGTGTGAGAGAGAGTGTGTTTGTGTGAGTGATTGTGTGTGTGTTTGTGTGAGTGATTTTGTGTGTGTGAGAGTGATTGTGTGTGTGTGTGTGAGAGAGAGTGTGTTTGTGTGTGTGTGTGTGTGTGTGAGAGAGTGAGTGTGAGAGTGATTGTGTGTGTGTGTGTGTGTGAGAGTGAGTGTGTGTGTGTGTGTGTGTGTGTGAGAGAGTGAGTGTGAGAGTGATTGTGTGTGTGTGTGTGTGTGAGAGTGAGTGTGTGTGTGTGTGTGTGTGTGTGAGAGAGAGAGAGAGTGTGTGTGTGTGTGAGTAATTGTGCGCGCGTTTTTGTGACGTATGAGGACACAAATTTGTATAATTTGAGGAGACTTGTGAGGACATTACCCCATGTCCCCATTTTTCAAAACGCTTATAAATCATAGTTTTTTTGTTGTTGTTGAGAAAGTAAAAATGCACAAAGTCTCCTGTGAGGGTAGGTTTAGGTGTAGGGTTGGTGTAGGGCAATAGCACATACAGTCTGTACAGTATAAAACTCATTACGCCTATGGAGAGTCCCCACAATTCACAAAAACACACGTGTGTGTGAGAGTGTGTGTGTGAGAGAGAGAGAGAGAGAGTGTGAGTGTGTGTGTTTAATGCCAGTCCGATAAGAAGTGCAGCGCGTCTGATCCACGTCACTCACACTCAGTCCAGCAGCTGGTTAGTGCTGTCGAGGCAGTGCGCACTACAGAGTGAACACTGATCTCCGCGGATACAGTGTGACAGGAGAAGCGCGGGTTCAAACCTTGTCCGTTTGCAGATGGAAAAAGCAGCAGCGCAGACGGAAGGCGACAGAATAACGCTGAACACACAGTGAAAGGTAAGAAAAACACCAGATCTGCGGTACAGTAGTCTACTAGTGATGTATTTGATCTGTAGTGAGGGGGAGGAACACTTATAAGTCTTATGAAGATGTTGTGAAACTCTAAGTAGCAAGTAAGTTTTATTTTCCCCCTGTGTGACCGAACGCGAATCTCGTTCTTAAAAACCGCTCAGTTGCTCTCAATCACATCTTTATGAAACGAACACAATGCGCTCTGTTGTGTGTCTGGCGACAAACACCGACGCTCCGAGGACTGGAGTTATACTAGCAGCTGTTCACCAGGACTCACGCTCTACTACTGAGAGCCTGGTCGATATGCGACATTGCAGCTCATTGTAATTGTAGATGAACACCACAGTAGGAATGAATGTTTGCAGAGAAACAACAAACTTCTCATTAAACACCGACTTGGGCTTCGTTTCGAAATCTTGTCAGCTGTCTGTCTAGACAGCATCACGAGACGCAGCCCAAAACCTCAGGAAGCGAAACACGTTTTCACAACATTGTATCTTGGATGCAGTTAGATTACATCACAAGATTGAAAACTAGAAACCATATTTATAATAATAACAATTTAACCCTAAAAATAAATCAAATCAAATAAAATGCAATTTACATGTCGGAATTACCAAAAATGTTAGACTAAATAATTTATATTATACTTATAAAATGAAGTTTTTTTTTTTAACTCATGCAATGAATTTGTTTCTTCATCAGATTTGGAGAAATGCAGCATTGCATAACTTGCTCACCAATGCAGTGAATGGGTGCCGTCAGAATGAGAGTCCAAATGTGAGGATGGCTGCATGTTTCTTCATGGTGAGTATATGTAACTTTGTTACGCTAAAATTGGGATATTCTACTTGTGGGCAGAATATGTTTGTTGAATGTGTTATCAGTAGATGTGGTTACCTTT